AAAGATGTGGCCATGGTCCCAAAGTTGGCGCGAATCGCTGGCGAACATATGGATCAGCGTGAATATCCGCAACTACGGGACTCGCGCCTCTTGCAGCCCATCTTTTTCCGAATGGGCGGACTTCTTGGGAGTGCCAGTCCTATCAGAGGTGGATTCGCGGGCCCCTCAGTCACTATGCCGTTGTGAGCGACGTACACTTAGAGAGGATGCGCGACAACGACGAGCACGCCCGCCCCGAGCACAAAGCCCAGGACCAGGACGCATTCAAACGTGGATGAGACTGGCAGACTGACAGCGGAGGCCTTCGGGCGCGCGAAGATTGAGATGTTCGCGCCATCCTTGTCGCGCCCCTCCAGAGATGTTCAAGGTGCTCGCGGGGCCAACCCATGCCAGTTGCCGTTCGCAGCGCGGGGAGTTACCCGATGGACTGCGATCTCGCCCATCACTGATCATTGGGTAGGAACCTGGCGCCCGCGACCGGCTCAATCACTTAGAGCAGCGCGGAGATCCACGGCGCCGCCTCCATCGGCCGGTCGCGCGTACGCGCCTAGTCCGACAATTGCCAGCCCGGGCCTCCTTGGCGCGCGGCTTCGCCGCAGTCTTTCGAGGTAGTCCCTTTCGCTCTGGAGGGTTTCGCTTTCCTGATGGGGCGCTCGCTACTCGCGGTCGCTGGCGGGAACCCGTCGCGGCGGCGACGCGCATCGCGGCCTGGGGGGGTCAATGGGCAGGGCGGCCCATGCTGCGCAGGGCCTCGACCGCCATCGCGCAGAGCGCGGACAAGCAGGCGGCCATCAACGGCGGGTCGGGGGGCCCATGGGCGACGCGCCCGAGCCCGAGGCCGTCGCGCTCAACGGCCACATCGCCGCCCAGGAGCGGGCTCTGGCGGAGCAGACTTCGACGAACAACGACGCGCGATCGATTTCGAGGCGAGGCTACCCGCAGTGGGCGCGATCCTGGGCCGCTTCGTGGACGACGTCCTCAAGACACATCGACAACCTGATGGTCTTTGCACTGCTCGACAAGTCGCCCGCCCTTCACGACGCAGCATTTCTGGCCTGGGCCATGCCCTGGCGGCGAGGCAGCGCGTCCAGGGCCGCTCCGAGCAGGGCGCGGCCCCCTCGCTGCAGTCGCGCCAACTGGCGCGCACTGCGATCAAGGAGTTCAAGCAGAGCGGGCGCAGCATCGGCGACGAGATGAAGCATCTGGGCGCCCGGTTCAACGCTGCCAACCGCAGCGCGAGCGAGCTCGGGGCCAGGGCCGCGGCAATCAGCGAGGGCTCGGCAACGGCGCGGGCCCCTGACATTCAGCTTCGCCGAAGAGAGTATAATGATTGATGCGCGCGCCATCGTTGAGTAGCGCGGCGCGTTCAGGTTCAACGGCCCTTAGTTGGACAGGTACTGAAACTAGGCGGCCGCGTGGTCTTCCGTCGAAGAAGTCGAGATCAATGGTGTGCGGGGGGGGGGGGGGAGCTCTTAGCAAAGTATCGCGGGCCAGTCACGACCGCGAGAGAGGCGCGCGCATGGTGGAACTTGGCGCCGTTTGCGCTGGAGGCGACAGCGCAGCATCTACGTGCGCGGCAAGCCAGTGCTCGCCGACCGAGCAATCATGCAAACGGACTGGCGATCTTCTTCTGGAGAGTCAATGTGGAGAGGCCCCGTGCATATTGAGTTCTGTCGGACTTGGAGGAGACAGGCGAACTGAACGCAGATGCTGCGATTCACCCCTGGTCTCAGCCGTGGCGGCGAGATCTGGAGGCGCCGCGTAATCACCCAGGCGCCGGGTCTTTTTCGTTGACCTGGAGCAGCAGATCGCTGATGGACTTGCCGCGGGACGAGGATGCGAGGATGCGAACGCGCGTTCTGTCTCGCGTGGCACGCGGTTCCTGCGCGGCGCCTTCGATCAGCGCGGCGGGCCCCGCCGCCAGCGCTCGCTGGAGTCTTGCCCGCAGCCCGGGGCGTGAACGCACGTGGGAGAGAGAGAATTCGTTCGTTCTTCCACCTTTCGGATCCGCCCAGGCCCCGAAGGACCAGCGCGCGGCTCAGCATTTCGCGCGCGCGGCACTTCTTGCACACGCGCGCCAATCAAAACGGCCAGAGCGTGGGGGGCAATGCGCGCGTTAGCTGCGGCGCCATTCCAGACGCGCGCGGACGCGGCCATGCACCTCGCACGGGCATGGCATGCGGGAGGATCTATCGCGAATTGCGCCGCGTACCCCTACGAGCTTCGGTTGACGACGGCGACCGCGCATGGGCTGCGTGACGCGGGCTTCGGAACGCATGGCGAGCCCCGTCAGCACCTGTGCTCGCGCCTGCCACCGACGCAAGAGGGCCGTTCCATGTATATCTTAGCTTCCCCGCCCGTGCCTCAGCAACCATGGCGGCGCCGCCGCCCTTCAGCTCCGCTGGAGGCAGCTTGGCTTCGAGGCTCTGATCTTCGCGCGGCAGGGAGGCGTCATGGCCAGAGAGCGCAGCGCCGGCTCAGCTACCAAGCCGATGATTCGCAGAGATGGACGGCGCCGAGCGGAAGCTAAGGGCCATAAGATACAGGCGAAATACGCGGGCATGAAAAACATATTATTGCTGTCGTCGACGCAGGCGGCGCAGCTTACCCGGAGGTCTCGAGCGGCATGGGGCCTGGCGACGAGAACGATCTTGATCGGGGGGAGCGCGACGTGGTGAAGCCACGCAGAACGAGGGCCAGGTCTTCGCGAATTCAGCCAGCACCACGCGCAGAGGTCGGCCGCGCCAACTGGGATAACCTGCAGCCCATTGTGGCATCCATGGCAGACGAGCCCTGGAAGCATGTTCGGATTTTCAGGCGATGAGTACAGACAATCAAGACATGATCAATATCTGCCGCACCTTGAACGACAAGGAGCAGGAATACCTAGTGATGAGCTGATTGAAGCAGATGAGGGCGACGGTGATTCAGGGTTCGGCGCCGAGCGGATAGCGGGAATGGGAGATATCGGCCCGGATCGATGCGCTGAAGCAGTAGGCGCGTTCCTCGACTGTTTTCATCTTCGAGGCACGGAGGAGGAAAGCGCGGCGCCCCCTAGTAGTGATGATGAGGAGCAAGCGGGATCAGTGTAGAGAGGCCCCGTGGGGCCTCGAGCTTTTCGGGCGCGTTGGCGCCGCGTCTCAGCCATTGAGCTTGGGCTGCTCGGCCGAGCGCACTTGGCGGACGAACCGTGCTGGGCGCGGACTGCGGACGTAGTCACAATGCGGCGCGTCCCCCGCTCCTTTTCGCTCCCCCTCGCCCTTCGCTCGCTCGTGTCCCCGGCCTGCCCTTCGGTCGGCTTCCCTTCCTGGTTGGTCCTTATCGCTCGGTCCCATCGGCCTGTTCGGTCCCTCGTGTTGATTCGGTTGTTGCCTCCATGTCTAGGACTTGTTAAGCATGTCCTCGCACCAGCCAGAGGCAGCAGTTCCTGTCGAGACGCCCTCTTGCACTGCGCTGAAAGTGTTGGTAGTAGACATCCGGTTCATCGTCCCGCAGCCGACCAGCAAGCAAGTAAGCTCCTCGTCCTCGTTTTCCTGCTGCAATACCTTCCCTGAGGTTTGCAGCCTCGGGGTGCTTTTCAGCAGTTTTGCCTCGCCGGGCGGGTTGTGGGGGGTACCCGAATCGCTTTCGACGGCCGCCAAAGACCCGAGTTATGATCCGAATGTCCGTTTTCGATCCGGTTGTTGGATGTTCTTTCCTCGCAGATTCTGGGCGGGGTTCTTACACGGGATGGTTGCAATTACCGCCGCCGCATTGGTCCAAGCCACGCGCTGCCGATCTGCCAGCGCACAATATGCGCGCACCATTTGCGAACAAACGTGTTTTTCTATCCGCTCCCCCCCATCCCAATCCATATTATATCATACATGCCGTTGTGATGGCACGTTCGACTTGGTAGCAGAGCTGGCCTAATTTACTCATGGGTGACCCCCCATGTTGCGTATCCTCGGCGGTACACCTTGTGATATCGACTGTATACATACTGCGCTAACTTTGCAAACCCTCAACCATAATATACAAGGGCGTGTATTTCATTCGGCCCGGAAGCGAGCAACTTTAAGGAACGAGCTGTTTTGTTCCGACGCCGCGCGACGGTAAATTGGCCGAGGTCGCGCGAGGCCAAATCTTCCATGCCAAGGACACCTCTGTCACTGATCGATCCCATTGCATTCGGCTGCTGGGTTCAGGGTTACAGAAGGACTGCATTTCATATTTCGGCGGCGCGCGAGGGGGGAAGTGAGAAGGTGGGCCTTCTCAGAAAGCCGTGGGGCTTCCCGGCCTTCTGAAGAGGCCCGCCCCAATCGCCCATTGATCGCTGATAGGGGACCGATAGCCCCAATTTGCCCAGGATCGTGCGGATTCACTATCGGGGCCCCATCGCCGATGCATCGGCGATGCATCGCCGATTCCGGGTCGATGCTTCCCCATCCTGTGCCTATCATGCCTTCCAGGGCGGTCCATCTCCAAGATGCCCGCGAGGTGTCGAAGACCACCCGTGAAGCTCTCGAGGTGGGGCCCGGGAATCCGTAAGGTGTTTCACAGAATGCCCGCTTGAGGCGAATATCACATCATGTTTCGGGACGATTGAAATGGGTACGGAACGAATGGGTACGTACAAAGACAGTGCATTTAGTGTCCATGTTGGACAGGACTCCGTGTTGGTGCCGCCGCGGGCTTTCGCCATTTGAGACAGAAGGCCGCCTGCCCAACAGCAGCCGCTGTCGGTTTGGACAAAATTTGTTGTTGGGCATCGTACCCATTTCTTCCGTACTCATTTCGGGCGTCCCAAATGTTGTTCAGTATCAGTTTGAAGCGTGTTCGAATGTGCGTGCGTGTGTGCTCTCTTTCTCTCCGTTGTCCAAGCCAACTCTGCTCCGAGAACGGCCTTCAGGTCATCGAGAGGATCCAGGAGGCATACAAGAGCGTCCAAGAGGGACACGCACGTCCCCAATATGGGCCAACACGGCCCACAAGCCAATCCCAATGGCAGTTCCAAAATGGCCCGAAGCCGTCCCAATGTGGCACCATGACGACCCCAGGCAGCCCCCAGGATTATCAAACCAACCCCAAAGGCCTGAAGAAGCCCTGAGATGGCCCCACGATCCCCAAGCAAGCTCCAAGAGAGCCCCTGATGGCCCAAGGAGGTCACAGGATTGCCCAAAGAAACCTCCCTCCCCTCCACCTCTTCCTGGCTGCTGCTGATCCCCAGGCACGCACGCGTATCACTCGTTTATCTGCCTGGTGTGGTATTATATATGCCGCGCGAGAGCGGGGCCTGGGTGCACCAGATGGTAGCTCCTCAGCCATAAAGAGCAGAGCGGGCAGGGCGTACCGTTCCTTCTGGCGGTCTGCTGGCCTCCGCCTGCTTCTCGCAGTGCACGGCGCTATGCATCGGTCTCTGTCAGGTCCTGTCGGTCTGACAGTGTATTCCACCGGTCAGGAAGTGTATGTTGTCGCCCGTTCTCGTATGGAGCCTGGCGTGCGTCATTCGTCCCCACTCCTGGTGATCGTGGACGCTTGGCTTCTGCACGCTTCCTGGCCATTCCTACGGATTGCCTGCCAAGTTGCTGCGCTCGAATCCGATGATAAGGATGAGTAACATCTCCGAGGGTACCCTTGTATCCTTGCCTCTTCGGTCCATCCTTAACCGCTTTCGATGGCCAGCCCCGCTCGGAACGCTTCGACATGGGCGTCCAAGGCGCTTGCAGCCTTGTCGCGCATCCTTATTCTCAATTTTGACGGTAGGCGACGGCTCGTCTCAGAGACTAGCCCCGCTTTCGTTGCCTGCCAGCGCTGGTGGGCCGCAGGCGCTGCCGTGCGCGCTCCTGCGCTCTCTGGCCGCGGCCGCGGCCCCCAGAGGCAGAGAGCAGCTTGGCGAGCTGAAGTGCGGAGAGATCGTGTGGAGCACTGGCAGCACTTGGACCGCTCCCTCGAAACCCACGCGCACGGGATCGAAATGGGTACAGAAACATTGGGTGCCAAGACCGACAGCATTTCCTGCTCAGTTTGAACGGGACCTGCTGTCGGTGTCGACACGAACGTTGTCCATTCGAAGCAGAAAGCCGTTTGCCCAACAGCGGCCGTTGTCGGTTTTGGATAAGATTTGTTGTTGGGCATCATGCCCATTTCTTCTGTACCGATTTCGGACGTCCAACGGGGAGGCAAGACGGGCAAGATTTCCCTATGGTCTTCGAAGCATCGGGGTTGCCATGGAACGATCTGTATCAGAGAGTCGGTTTCGGCGTTCAGAGCATTACGCATGGATCTGGCCCAGCACGCTGGGACATACACGGATCGGCGCGAGAGGTCCCAGTAGCATGAAGTTGGTGCGCGGATCCCAAACAGTTAGGCAGTGAGTGGCCGTCGCGCATTGAATTTTAAGTGTGGAGTTTTGTGTGTGGAGCCTCAGGTGTGTGAAACTGTGTGTTGAGTTCTGCGCAAGAGAGATTTCAACGCACGTAAGTTGAACCTGTGATTTGCAACCCTCCACGGGAGGAGTTTATTTTTCGAAGACGCATACGGCGAGTCACCGTAGCTCCTTGTCTTTCTGCATATGTCGATCTGTCCAAAAACGTTTGGGCAGCGCTTGACCACGCTATTGGACAATGTGGCTCCCCAGCCGATCTGGAAACCCTTTGGGAAATACTTAGGGGAGGAAGAGGGAAGGGGCAGAAGAGGGAGACGAAGGAGGCGGAAAGGTAGACTGCCTCTTGAGGGCCTCCGAGGGGCTTCTTGGGGGCCTTTTTCGTGACTTGGGGCCATCGGTGGCCGTGGTGGAGCCATCTTGGACCGTCTTGGGGCCATGTTGGGCCATCTTGGCACCGCTGGGGCCATCTTGGAGGCCATCTTCGGCCGTCCTGGCCATCTTGGACACGAGTAGCTCTGCATTGGTGGCCCTTCTGGCAAGCGGGGCGGGTTGGGCCAGAGGCCTTTGGGGGGGAGCCTGTTGGAGGGGCCAAGGAGATCTATGGCCTTCCGCACGGGGCGGCGGATCGGGTGGCTTTCTGCCCATCTCGCCATTGTGTCTAGGATGTGGGCCAGAGTCCTCTTGGCCGCCTCTCGGGGGCCTCTTGGAGGCATGCTGGGTCCACGTCGGCACCCCGGAGGGGCCTCATGGGGGCTTCTTGGCGGTTCCCGGGGTCAGCCTGTCTCAGAGGTCCTTCGGGGTCAGTTCGTGTGCCCTCCGTGGCGGGAAGTATTGAGCAACACATGGAGTTAAATGAGCGCTTGATTTCCAAGAAAGTTTCGCGAGAAGCCCCGGGAGCGCCTACGGGACGGCGGCCGGTACGCCCTCCAAGCAAGCAGCCGATGTGCAGCTAGTTCTCAAGAGGGTGCATTTGGAAGCGGTCAGCAACGCTGTCAGCTGCGTGAGGTGGAGGAGGATGCGAATATGAAAGAGCAGGGTGAGACTGAAGAGGGGGACGAGGATGAGGAAGAAATGGGAGGAAGTGGTGGATGATAACTGGCAGGCGAGAAGTCTCGATTCAGGGGGGAATGGCCGTCCAACTGTGGTAGTAGGACTACGTAGGAGCAGCAGTGGCCGTGGCAGCGGTAGTATTAGAAGTAGTAGTCGTTGTAGTAGTCGTAGTCGTAGTTGGAATAGTAGTAGTTGTTGTTGTTGTATTAGTAGGATGAGGAGGAGTAGTAGTAGTCGTAGTAGTAGCAGTAGTAGCAGTAGTAGCAGTAGTATTGTTAATACAGGGTTCGTAGTCGCCGTGGTAGTATCAGTAGTAGTAGTAGCAGAAGAACTAGTAATAGTAGTAATAGTAGTAGTAGTAGTAGTCGTAGTCGTAGTAGTAGTAGTAGCAGTAGTAGTAGTAGTAGTAGTAGTAGTAGTCCTAGTCGGAATAGTAGTAGTAATACTACTACTACTACTACTACTACTACTACGACTACTACTACTACCACTACTACTACTACTACTACTACTACTACTACTCGTACTAGTAGTGCTGGTAGTAGTTGTCGTCGTAGTAGTAGGTGTAGTCGTAATCGTACTAGTAGTCGTAGTAGTAGTCGTAGTAGTAGTCGTAGTCCTAATCCTAGTTGTAGTCGCCGTAGTCATAGTACTTCCCGTGGAAGTAGAAGTAGTAGCAGTAGTAGTAGTAGTACTACTACTACTACTAGTAGAAGTAGTAGAATAAGTAGTAGAATAAGTAGTAGCAGTAGTAGTAGTAGTAGTAGTCGTGGTGGTAGTAGTAGTAGTAGTAGTAGTAGTAGTAGTAGTAGTAGTAGTGGCGGTAGTAGTAGTCGTAGTAGTAGCGTTAATGGTAGTAATTGTAGTAGTCCCGGTAGGCTTCGTCGTAGTATAGTTCTGGAAGTAGTAGTAGCAGTAGTAGTAGTAGTAGTACTAGTGGTGGTAGTGGTAGTAATGGTAGTAGTAGTAGTAGCAGCAGTAGTAGTAGAAGGAGTAGTAGTAGTAGTAGTCGTAGTCGTAGTCGTAGTCGTAGTCGTAGTCGTTGTAGTAGTCGTTGTAGTAGTCGTTGTAGTAGTCGTAGTCGTAGTTTCAGTAGTAGTAGTAGTAGTAGTAGTAGTAGTAGTAGTAGTAGTAGTAGTAGTAGTAGTATTAGCAGTAGTAGTAGTAGTAGTAGTAGTAGTAGTAGTAGTAGTAGTAGTAGTAGTAGTAGTAGAAGGAGTAGTCATAGTAATAGCAGTAGTAGTTCGTTGTCGTCGTCGTAGTAGTAGTAATAGTAGCCGTAGTAGTATTAGTAGTAGTAATAGTCGTAGTCGTAATACGAGTAGTAGTAGTAGTAGTAGTAGTAGTAGTAGTAGTAGTAGTAGTAGTACCAGTAGTAGTAGTAGTAGTAGTCGTAGTAGTCGTAGTATCAGTAGTGCTAGCGGTGATAGCAGTAGTGTTAATGTGAGCAGTCGTAGTGTAGGGGAGTCGAAGAGTATCTGCGCAGCGATACATGAATCGTTCAGGTAGTTGGGATCTTTGTGTGCAGCCTACTCCGCGGGAGCGAGCCGATGCACGGAGAGGTAGGACCGGCCAGGAAATCGTATGCATTGCAGCGTGCTTGTGTCCATTTCTGCTGCGGCGAAGGATACGCCACACTGGCCCTTTGCCAGGCAGGAAGGCAGAGCCGCCTCGATTTGTTGTGCCGCCATCTTTCTGATCTCCTCCGTCCGTCCTGCGTTGGGTTAATTCGGTCCTTCAGCCTTCTCTCACAAGTTGATGCGCTCTCCCTTAGCTTGAACATGCCATGCTGAATCAGGGTCTTTAGCCTGCTGCCAGTCGTCGTGACTTGGATGGGGCATCCCAACGGATGGGGCCATCTGTGTGACTCAGACTCGACTCCTGATGTAGAAGGCACGCATGCACCATTACTGCCTGTCACCTTCGACGCTACTACGCCGCACCCACCGTGAACACCACCTCCGACATAAGCCTGCAGCGCCACCACCAACACAGCGCACACGACACCTTGTACCCACCAATGCCGCCCAACAACGCCAACACCGTCTGCACTTGAACAGGCACCACCACCGCTGCCGCAGTCACCACCACTAGCTTACAAGCCTGTGCTTTATTGCTACCGGGAGGCGTCCGCCGCCAGCAGCAGCGGCGTTGGCGTCGCCACGGGGGTGGCCCGTTCCAGGACCGCGCAGCTCAGGGGAGGAGCAGAACGATGAGGAGACGGCGGAGTCGCAGGGAGGAGGAACAGTCGGACGCCTCAGAAATGATTGGCCCTTACGAATCATGTGCTCAATAGAACCACTAATCCTCTTCTTGGGCCCCCACGAGTTAGGCTTCCAAGGCAGCCGCAGCGACAAAATTACACACGTGAATCCTGCCATATGGTCTGGTACCATTGCTCTGTTTGTATTCAGTTTAGTCCTATACCATTTGGCGAGTATCTTGCAAGCCATCATGACAGGAAGTTTTAGCTGTAATGCACATGTGCGACAACCTTCAGTTTGAACTCTGGCTGGTGTAAAGCAACAGTTGTTAATGACGCGTCTCTTGGGTGAAACGTTTGACCGCGTAGGCACTCGTGGGTCAGCATGTACACTGCCAGACAACGGGCGACGGTACTTACCTCAAGTGCATCTAGAGGCCTATTTCCATACTATTCGAGCATTAGCTGCGCACCCAGAGGCTCTCAGGGCTATCGGGGACCGTTTTAGAGCCATCTTGGGTCGGCATCGGGTGATCTATGCCATCGAAGCCGTCGCGTAGAGCATCTTAGACCTATAATGGAGGCCACATCGGACCATCTCGGCCGACCTGAATGCAATCGACAACCATGTCAGAACCTTCTCGGCCCGTCTTGGTTAGAGCCGTCTTACAGTCGATATCTTATTTCACTGTTACATTTACGGGCCAGCACGGAGTCGTAAATTTTCGAAGGAGGGGTCTGATCGATGACATCACCATTGTTGCCACGCGGTTAGAACACAATTGTGTCATAACACAAAGAACCGCAACATAGAAAATTGAAGTCTCTCCAGTCTACAGCAGGCAGGGAAAGTTGTCTGCTTCCGATGTGTTGCCCTCCGTCGGAAACTCGAAAGCGTCGGAGAGCTGCATTGTGTAGTCATTGGCTCGAGCCGGCGTTTTTTGGTTCGAGCACGCCTTTAATGCCGAGCGAACCGCAGTAACGCCTGTGCTGCTGGAGTTGGAATGGATACGATCGAGGCAATGAGAATGGCGATAGTCCGCGTCGTTGTCACCGCAGAGCATTGGAGGATTTTGCCAAAGTCCCTCAAGGAGCACGCCGCAGCGCAATTGTGACGGACTGATATCTGCGAGGATGCCCGACGCAACGATGGAGATTTCTTGATATGGGACCCAAGGCAATGGAAGAACAATAATGATTGCAAATGGCGCAACAGGGAAGATTATGTTATCTGCGTGCTCACGGACATGATACAGCAAGGATGATGGCACATGTAGGCAATGATGACGAGGTGGCCGATTGTAGTCCCGAATCGGCATTCCGAAGGTTTTACTGCGACGCGACGCGGGGCTCCAGACTTCCTCAAGATCTCTGCGTAATGGCGTGGGATGTTCAAAACCATTGTTCTCCACGTCTTGATCTGACAGCGCTGCAGTTTTAAAATCGAGTTATTGTTGTAAAGGCCGCCGGCCTGTGCCGCCAATCCGGAGCGCTGCATGTGCAAAGGAGGGTAAGCTTCAGGGCGGGAGGGAATCAGAAGCAGAGGATGGTGAGGGGGGTGGGTGGTGGGATGGGAGAAGGGGGAAGAGGCGGAGGAGGAGGAGGCGGAGGAGGAGGAGGAGGGGACCAGTGTAAACCCAAGAGTCATCAACGATGTTGAAAAAAACCCTCCCTCGAAGATCCCTCCTCAAAGGCCCTAACAACGGTTCATTTCCACTGAGGAAACTTCTCCGTTGGAAGACCACCGTTTGTAGACCATAAATCATGCCAAAACATAGTTCTCAGGATTCCAACGCCACGGATCAAACTGTCTGAGTGTTGAGGATCCTGAATCGTGCCAGAACGCCATTCTTGAGACTTCAGCACCGCGAATCAACACAAATGTTGCACCTGCATAATCCTAAATCCTTCCAAAACACAATTTTTTGGTACGCTGATCATGGGAACACGTGGGAGCATGTGAAAATCTTGCAAATGTTTAAGTCGAGTGCACGCGGCGCTAAGGCGAGAACCACATTTTGAAAAGATCCGTCAAACACGAATGTGCGGGGCGCTAAGGCGCGAGCCACATGTTGAAGGCACCCCGCCCTCAATCCGTGAAACCCTTGCACATGTTTGAAGCGAATGTGCGCGGCGTGAAGGCGAGAGCCACACGTGTTAAACGACCCGCCCTCCATGCGTGAAGCCCTTGCAGTGTTTGAGGACGAGTCTGCGCGGCGCGAGGGCGAGAGCTGCACCGTGCAAGCGAACCCCCCTCCACCCGTGCAGCCCTTGCAGTTGTTAACACGGGTGTGCGCGGCGCTGAGGCGATAACCATACGTTTTAAGGACCCGCCCTCGCTCCTCTTGCTCACCACCTACCAAACCACCCCGACCCAACCCGAAGGCCTCAATTTGCCCTCCATTTCCAGTGGGGGGGGGGTCGGGGAACATCGAAAAAACACATGTGGAGCCCATACCCCCCCCAACCCGAAATTCGGGTCTTCGGGTTGGGTTGGGGTGGTCTGGTAGGTGGTCACTTGCAATTGCTTATCAAAAAACGGACGTGCGCGGCGCCCAGGCGAGAGTGACATTTTGAAAACGACCCGCCCTCAACCCGTGAAATGTTTTAGCACTTGTTTAACACGAGTGTGCGCGGCGCGGAGGCGACAGCCACATTTTGAAAACCACCCGCCTTGAATCCGCGAAACCCTTACAATGTTTGAAAACGAATGTGCGCGGCGCTCAGGCGAGAGCCGCATGTCGAAGCCGTGTGCGAAACTGTTGTCAATGTTTCTAAGCTTCAGGGTCATACGTGGTGATAAAGTCTCAGACGAAACGTCCGGCCCGCCCTAAAAACTGGTCTCGGGGTGCGACAGGGAAAAGTTACTGTAATGGCCTCTGGCCAGTGCCGCTGATCCGGGGGGCTCCGGATTCGGTGATCTTCGCGGCTTTGTGGCCTCCTCCCTCTTCGACATGCGCAAATCATTAAGAAAACGCCAGATGGGGGACCGCCCCCCCCCCCCCACCCTTTCCTGAAGAGGGCCCGGGGAGGGCTCCGAGGGCAGAGTCCTGGAGGCGGTAGCGGCTAGATCTGAGGGGGGTCCTTGGGACCCCCCGAAACATTTTGGGGAAGCGCAAATCATTAAGAAGAAACACCAGATGGAGGACCCCCCCCCCCTCCCCTCCTTCCCCGGCAGAGCCACCCCGGCGAGCCCCCCAAGCAGAGCTGAAGCTCTTGCTTAGGCTCAGAGCTGAAGCTTTTGCTGAGGTTCCTTGTAGCTCACACGCCGGATTGGCGGATCGAAACGGAAGGAGGATGGAGGATAAGGAAGAAGGAAGTTGGTGATGGGAAAAGGGAGGAGTGCGCGTGAGGAGTAGGAGGACGATGGGGGTGATGAGGATGGGGACGGGGGTCCGCAGCGAGGAGCAGCAGCAGCAGCGGAAAGAGAAGGAGGAGGAGGGAGCAGCAGGAGCAGGCGGAGGAGAGAGGGGGAACATGCCGATGAGGAGGAGGGAGGACGGGGCGGCGGAGGAGAGCAGGGAGGCGGAGAAGAGGAGAGGGAGGAGGAGGCGGAGGAGGAGGCAGCCGATATGGGGCCCGGACCGCGGACCCCTGGACCCCAGGGAGTTCACGCTCCGGGCCCGGCCTCGGAGCACGGCTCAGCAAAAATAGTATGGGGACGATCTTTAGAGCATTACTTGCCATTTTTATTGTTTTTTATGTTTGATTTTCGCCCTAGATTGTTTTGTTGTTTGATGTTTGTTGTTTGTTTGTTGTTTGTTTTTTATAGCATTTTTTGAGTGCTTGTTTTTTATGTTCGATGTTTCGCCCTAGCTCCCCCTGTAGGGGAACATGCCCGACCCAAACCCCAGACCCCCGGCGAATTCCAGGCTGGGGTCCGGACCCTGGACCCCCCCCGGGCCCTGGAGCGCCCGACCTGTGCTCGGCCTCCGAAGCCCTCTGTATAGGCATCCAAGATCTTGGCATCGCTCGGACGTGTGCATTTTTTCTTCGGCGAGGACCATCGAGGAACATCCTCGATCATTTGGCGAAAAAGCCACGCACGAAACCGAAAAAAAAACACAGGAAATGGACGTCCGAGCGATGGCCAGAGATGGGGCCCGAGGAGATGGGGTCGGAGGACCGCTTCGCACCGCCAAGGCATCGACGATGCGGCGCGATGCCGGAGCCCGATGTTCTCCGCGCCGACGTCGCCCGATGCATCGGCGATGGATTGGCGGTGCGGCGCGGTCCTCCGACCCCATCGGATCCGACCCCATCTGGGACCAGACTCCCTGGGACCCAGGATCTATAGAGGGCCTCTAACTCGACTCCGACCCCACTCCGGGTCCCAGACCTCGATTCCCTGGGGCCCGGATCCGGACTCCGGAGTCCGGGACCCCAGTCTCCGGAGCCTGGGCCCCGTAGGGACCCTGGAGCTCGATCCTGCGCACCAGCGCCCCGGTTCCAAGACCCTGGGGCGCGGACCCGCCCCGAAATTCCGACCCTGGAGCCCGAACTTTGGACGCCGGATGGGGGGTCCAGATTTGGAGCCAGGACATTGCATGGAGCTTGGGTTCGGCTCGGTGCTCCACGTCGGGATTTGACGGCGCCCCGCGTTCAGAGGTGGTGTCGTTACGAAGGGGCGGCCCCGCGATCCCAGGCCCCAGCACACCGGACTTTTTGCTGGGATTGGGGGTTGTCGGGGCTGGACAGACCTCCTACCCTGACACGTCGATTAGTGAATTGGCTGTTTTCGGTTCGCGGGAGGGCGTCGCGGCCGTCATTTTTGCAGGTTCAGGTCCATCGGTTTCGGTCCCAGGCCGTTTTCACTAAGGGGAGGTCTGCTAAAGGGAGGTTTGTCCAGCGCCGAGGTTGTCGGGGTGGGCTGACGCCGGGAGATCTCCCAGAAATGGATGTTTCTCGCGCGCGCGCGCTGGCGCAGTACCCTGCTTGCGCCCCGCAGCCAACGTCGAAATTCAAAGTTGAATCAGAAA